GTCTTTCTTGTTCTTCATGTGCAAAGATGGTCTTTTTTCTCTCTTTTTGTAGCCTGGTTGGCACGTTGTTTCCTGTTTGTGTAAGAGTGTATTCCTTTCGAGTGGGTGTATTGCATTGTTTCTTGTTTATTAAGCAAATACGTACGATATGTATCGTTGTATATGTATACGTATATGTATATGTATACGTGTATATGTATATGTATACGTGACTTGGTTAGCATGGGCCTCTATGGTCCTGCTGAGTTCAGCTATTCTTCTGCGCAAGCTCCTGTTTCCCTCTGGGTCCGCAGTCTCTGCTTCAGCTTTGCCTTTGCCTCCCAGAGGTGTAGCAGTCGGCTGTCCGCCACTGTCACGTTCGCCTCTTCGGGAACGACCTTGGTCGCCCGCTCGGCTGCCGCTCTAAGGCTTTCCGACCGCTCTTCGATATTTACGATGTCTCCGGTTCCGTATTCCTGGAGTATTTCCCTGAACGCGTCCCATTCCGTGATCTTGCACCGCTTACCTTTCGGCTTTGCCGGTCCTGCTGCAGTCGTGATGCAGAGGACGAAATGGTCGCTCCCGAGATCTTCCCACGTGTTGGACCACACAGAGTCTTCGGTGCCTTTTACGAAAGTGAGATCCGGGGTGGTGTCTTGATTTCTGAGGTTACCCCGCCGCGTCGGTTGGTCTGGATCGGTGATGAGAGGCCGTACTCGTGCGAGTCGTTCCACAGGTTCCTTCCTTTGATTCTTTCCACTTGATATCCCCAATCCGGGTGTGGGGCGTTGAAGTCCCCCGCGACAAGAAGTGTCTGCCCTTTGGCGATGTTCGTGGTCGCCTTGAAAAGGGAAGCGAATCTGTGCCTCTTCGAGGGGCTGCTGTAAACGTTCAAGACGAAGATGCTGCGCCTGTCTTTCTTCTCGTGCGATATGATTTCAATCAGGACGTGATCAACCGTGGATACCCCTGTTTCGTGCTCTATGACCGGGATGTTCCTCTTCACCATCGTCGTTACCAGTGTCTTGTCCTGCGCGTCCTTCCCGTATGACTTGTAGCCAGATAGTTTTGCTAGTCTTTTTGGTTCTTGTAGGGCCACTACGTCCGGGCGATCCCCCTCTTCCTTATGATTAATGTACTGCTGCAGATTACTCCTCCTTTTTCCGTACCCGCGGCAGTTCCACTGCCAGATGACGTACTTCCTACGGCTCTGGTTCATCTTCGTTGATCATAGCCTCAGTCTCTGGTCGTGTGATGTTCCCCGTGACTCTGGCGTAGTGCGCCCAGGCGTCGAACGGGTTCGGCGTGCCTTGTGCCAGTCTCGAGGCGCGGTTCTGCAACTCGGTCAGCATCCTCTCCATGCATCCTGTGATCGCGCTCTCCAACATGTTTTTCGTCACGAAGGTCTCTTGGTCCCCGCTAACGGGTTTTGCCTCGCGAGCCTCTCTTCTCGGTCGCGCCGTGACCCGCGCCCTCCACTTCAGTGGCCGTGACGCCGACTCACCACCGTCAGACTCCGCGGAGATCGTCTCCTGCGGTGCATGCACAACCTCTACTCTTTCACGCGTCCCCTCCTTAATTCTGTTTAGCTCCTCGCGGAGCGCCTTGTTCTCTTCTAAGGTCTGCTTCAACAAAGCCTTAATCTCTGCCAGCTCGTTCGCCTGGCTCGTTTCTGCGAACGCGTTACCCCCCTTGTCCTGTGGAGCCTTACGGGAGACCATCTCCGCCCAGCTCACGTCGCGTCCTCTGCCGCTTCTGGATCCCGACTGCCGTCGTCCGCCCGTCCTCGATGTCGACCTGGATCTCTGTCCCTCGGCACGGCTCCTCGATCGCGAGCGGGGGGCGTCCCTTAGCAACTTGGGAAAGTTCTCCTCTCCCTGCATCAGGAGGCCTTGCTTGTTCCGTTTCTTTTCCCAGCTTCTCTGCAGTACGATGTGCGGCGTCTTGAACTTCTTTTTGCACTTTTGGTCGCCCGTGGCGTGCGCCTTGCCGCATACCCCGCACGCCGGCGTGCACGCATGTTCCCACGGTGGGTTCAGCATCCAGCAGCCCTTGCATCTTCTCTCCTCCGGCCTCGGACATACGTCAGTGCGGTGTCCGACGCGACCGCACTGCCCGCAGCACTCTATCTTTTGTTTTTTGTGGAGGAAGCATTTCTTCTCGGTGGAACCATACCGGATAAAGTACGGGACCTTCTTCCCCTCGAACACGATGACCACAGAGCCGGAGTGTCCCATGCGCCGCGCCTGGAGGATCGAGGGATTCCTGTCTCCAATCAGGTTGCCATTGATGTCTTCTTCGGTGTCCTCCTCCGGTATTCCGTGGATGACCCCTTTGGCGGTGTATTCCGGTGGCGTCACGTGCGCTGCCACCCCGAACCTCTTGCCGTCAAGCATGATTTCCACAATCCCCTGTACCTCTGAGCGTTTTCGAGCACTGGTGTGCTCACCACCATGATGTTCTGGTCCTTGTTCACGCAGAAGACGTCTCTGTCCGCCTCCTCGGTGGAGATCTCCGCCGATATCAATATTCCCCGTTGAATTTTGACTTCATTCTGCCTCGAGGTGTCCAGGCCGTTTCTCGGGCGGATAACGACTTTTATGTCGTCCTCCGGGAGCCTCGGCGCCCTCGGCCGCTTGCTTCTGGAACGTTCTCGAGCCCCGTTCCCCGTTTTTCTACCAAAAGTGCGTTTTGGCGGGAAACTGGTGGTTAGGCCTAGCACGTCCGCCCGTTGCTGCTTCTTGACATGGATGTCTATCCAGTCTCGGCTGCTGCCGTGAAAGTCCTCCGGCGAAATAGGCTCACCGCCAACTTCGACGACCCTCATGTCGCCGGTCCAACGAGGATGGACGTCCCTTTCACCCAAGTGAATGGAATCCATCTGGTCGAGTCGGGGGCGGCCGGCGCTACGCTGGCTCCGGGTGGTGCGTTAGGCCTAGGGGGGCGGCCGCCCCACTTCGCTTCGGGAAACGGTGATTACTCACGAAAAGCGGTCCGCACACCCGAAAAACAGGTATCTACTCGTTCCTCTCGGGTTCTGCCGCACGTTCGTGGTCTATTCCAAGATCCAAGAGTAGATGGTCAGCCAAAAATTTTGATAAATCCCGCTCATCGAATAGGAGGTAAAAGCGCTAAAAAACGACGGACAAGTTGAAGAATGACGAGCACCACAGAGCGCTAACTTGCAACTGAAGTTTATTACTGAAAACACGTACACATATATACACCGTGACATCAAAAAGACAAGTGGCAATAATGCCGCTTCATCTATCTAAGGTTAATCTATGAATTGTTTACTCTTTCGAATGATTTCAAATATGCCACCTCAGAGCTATACAGGTTTACTGAGGGAGCGCTGACACACATGCCCTGATCGTACTTCAAAATAAAAAACGCCTCCGATATCTCTCTCGTTTTTTTTGTCTCTATTCCGAGTCAAGATAACGGTGTTGTCAAGCCGTGGGACACACCCACATCTGTTACGGTGTACAGCCAGATTGCCCGAGGGTGATGATCTAACTGACAGGGCATGTTCCCTGAGTCTGTCGTTTATGCACCGACCCGATTGCCCGATGTACACCTTTCCGCATGATAAAGGAATTTTATACACCACTTGTTCCTTACACTCTACGTATCTTGTTTTATGATTCTTATGGCATACGCCTACGCGCTCATCACCACGTGCTACCCTTCCACATAGCTTACTCAATTTTTGAGGGGCTGATAAGAGTACAGGGACCCCATGCTTTTCCCCCACTTTCTTTATTCTATGGCTCACCTTATGCACATAAGGTATCACCGCTGGTCTAGACTTTGGCTTATCTCTCACGCCACATTCCCCTCCCCCCCGAAGTTTCTTTAGTAAGCCTTCCGCCACCCCCGCAAGGAGCGGAGGTGGAAAACCCCCCTCCTCCAGTTTCGTCACCTGAAGCATAAAGCTAACTGCTAGCTTATGTGGGCGTTTTTTAGCGCTTTTACCTCCTATTCATGAATAACCAACTAGCCCACGTACACACCCTTCTACCCGCTCATCGCTCTGGACAGCGGCCGAGCGGCCGAGCTCGCGCCGCGAGCTCGACCATTAACGTGAAACGTTCTTTGCCTAGGTGTTTGGAATTTAGTGAACCATGGATAAAATCATGACTGCGAGGCTCGGCACTGATTGCTTCATGGGTGGGAGAGGAGGAGTGAGGTACACTACGCTGATTGGTTAACGGTGAGGTTACGTGACCAGAGGGGGGGGGGGGGGTAGGCGAAGAGGAATGAGATAGGCTAGACGGGAGCTCAACCATCCGTGCCAACTGAGGGAGTGAAGCTCAGGAGTATGGAAAGCTCCGGAAGATCGCCGGGTTCATTAACCCAATTATCTGTAGTGTCGTTTCATTCTAGTAACAACTATAAAACGTACACATGGTATGCGTTAATCTTTCTGAAGAAGAGTGGCATGAACGTAGGCGTCTGCCGTCTGGAAACTAAGAGTGTCGCTAAGCGTTTGTTATAGTAGACCATTTCACGCAAGCAACAAAGGTGCCTAGCGATTTGCCAAAAATGTTTCTACTTCACTGATTTTTATTGAACAACGCGCTCATGGCACCATATCCACCGCTAACCGTTATAAACACTCCGAGAGAACGCATGCGCATCGCCCTGTCCACGCTTTCGCGCTCCAAACGGCAAGAGGGTAGCCGCCGGCGCGCCGAGAGACCGGATTTCTCGAGGCAGAAGAGGCGGTTGTTCCCGATGTCTCGACGGGTTTCCATGGCCATTGATGGCGGCAGCCACCTCCCCCAGTTTAAAGGGAAGAACCCCGAGGCTGGTCGTAACCTGCCGTTTTAACTTCGCAAAGCCCGTCATTTTTAATGCAAATGGATATTTCATTGCGGAGTAAGATGCGTTTTTTAGCAGAGTATTTATTGCCACCATGGTGGAAGAGCTTGTTCTCGACTTCCTAGCATCCTTCGTGCATATCATGCGGGTTTGATATTGCCTAAATTGTCTGTTTGCTTGTTTTTATCTTCCAGACAAATGCGACTTCGAAAAAGGCCTGTGTGCAGGCTTCGTGAGCAACTGCTCTCTGGTTGCCTGCTTCAAGGTGCAGCGAGTCGATACGATGAAGTTTGGACCCACCCTGGACCGTAATCCAGGCCGAGGTAAGTACACTCGATCACCGAGATAACGAGACATGAAGCCTCCCAGATAGCGTGATCCAGGTATAGAATCTTCCACCTCAGCCACGGGAGACCAGCGCGACGCACACTGGACACTATAGACAAACTCAACTCTTTGACGTCATATCTGTGCGGCGGCGCTGCGGTCGGGAGTGCCGGCATCAGCGCCACCGCTGCTCTATATAGTCACAGACGACTAAAAAAATGCAAGACGTGTCTTATTATGCCTAGGGTCCTCTCTCTTTGTGATTGGTTCTTCCGTGTTAATTCCTATCGGTGAATACCGCCATCCTATTGGATGTGCAGCGATAATGAGTTGGCTTGGGCACGCCTACCTTTGTTGAGTTTTCTATGACCCGGATTCGCTTCACGATGTGATAATAGGCCGCTTTTTGTCAAGCAACACTGATTATCGCAACGGCTGGGGCCATAGCTTCTTCTATACTCACAAAGCCTGGTAGTTTGACGACGGAGCCATAGAGTGCCCGGTCGCAGATATGGAGCGCGAGGATACAGTAGCATACAGCATCAAAGAGTCATTTCTCGGGGAACCTGGACGTGAGCGCACAGCTTTTTCAGTGGCGAGGACCCCAAACACACTTGTTCCCTTGGAAGTAGTGTGTTTCGGCGTCTCGCCGCAGTGAGGCGCCAGTCACGTGGCTATCCTCTCATCCGCTGTCTGCCGCTTCACCTTTTCTTTTTCGACGGCCGCTTCTCGTGGCGATCTGCCAGGCTTTGACACTATATAGGAGGCTATGCTTGGGCAGAGATTACGTGAATGTATCCGAGTACTCTCCGAACTTTGAGGCAGCCCTAGCGTACAATAAATGCTCAAAGTACTGGTGATCGAGGCATGGCGGGCTGTCAATGACGAGGACTTTTGAAAAGGGTCTATTGGGTAGGTGAATATACTCGACATTGTGGGTGAAGACGCAAACTTTCGTTAGTCTTTGCGTTTTTGAAAATTGTCTTAGTCAACTGCGACTATACGTAAACAATAATATTATTTTTCTTGTCCCAAGTTGGAAAGGCACACTTCATATGCCTCACCTACATGTTGCGTTTTTTTCCGATTTAGCAGTTGCTACTTACATCGCTCGAACGGTGAAAAAATGTGTGGTAGAAACTATATTGCTTAGCATTGCAACTGCGAAATGGCCAGAAGTTTAACACCGTGGCAATCATGGATTTGAAGAGGGCAAGGAGGTGTTCACACCGCATCCGCAAAACAATTAAGATTATTTTTTTTATTTTTTTATTTTTTTTTTCAGAGTTGAGTTAATAATGTTTTGATCCTAATTACGCTCTGTCGCCAGGGGGAACCGAGGAACACTGACTCTCTTTTCAGCGTTCAGGATAGGAACGACGCTGCGATGTTTTAGTCCAAAGAGTACTCGCACAACCATATATACAGTAGTACCTCGTTAACTCGAACACGGCTATCTCGAAATAGTGGTTAACTCGTAACATTTCTTTGACATGGAATGAGCTCTCATAGGCAGAATGCATTTTGTTCTAGCTTATCTCGAAAGGTTTCAAGACGGACTACGGATATCTTGAAATTTCGTTAACGAAAATCGCAAAAAAAAACCGCAATAAACAACAAAAACTGGCTAAAAAAATGTGCGTTCCAAAAAAAGAAAGTTACAAAAATATAAGCAAGCTTAAGAGACAAAAAAAAAACGAGGGTGTTGTGCACGGAGACGCGGCGAGACATGCGCCTCAAGAACGTGTGTTTTCTTAATATAATTTTCTCCTCTACCCCACTTGGACAAGCCAGTGGCAAGCCGGAATGCCTGACGTTCGGTGCACCCTCTCCCTCGATCGTTTTCTGCCACTCTGTCTTTCGCTTTCACTTTGCCTCTGGGTCCTCCCGTTTCCGTTCCCGGTCTGGTCGTTGTCTCCTTAGTCTCGTGCTTCGCAGAGGTGTCGGAGGTGTCTAGTTTGTTTCGAGGGTGTTGCTGCTCTTGACTACTTGTCCCTCCATTTTTTCCCTGGTGTTTCGATGGTCTAGGGGCGCCATACGAACAAGAGTCAAGTGTTCAGTTCGGTCGTCAGTTGTGAATTCTCCGACGTTGGCTCGTGACTCGACTGACCGTGAACATGGCGCAGCCCGAACAAGTTCTATTTTTTCTTTTTTTAATAAAGCCTGTGCTGCTGCCGCGATTGTTAGACGTTTTATTTAGTACATCGCGCGATCATAGGTAAAAAATTCGGTGCTTTGCTTATCTAAAAATTTCGCTTATCTCGAATTTTTTCTAACAATTTTTATGACTTAGAGTTAACGAGGTATTACTGTATACTCCGTTTTATTCATCGTCCCACCGCCGCAAACACAATCATTTGATTGAATCAGTGAAGTGCGACGCCAGTGACCTACTATACAGATCACGCATAGAGAATGCGGCGTGATTTTACGCTCTCTTCCGTGCACGATTTGTTTAGCCGCTGTTAACAAACACATAAATACGAGGGGTGCCGTAACGATGCCCTTTTAATTGTGCTTGATTCCATCAGGTCGTTGCTTCGGCTGAGGTCGTGCTTTATGGTAATGAGGCGGAGTTTCGCCCCCCCCCCTTTTTTTTGTTTTAAATATGCACCCAGATCGTAGCTGCATCCGGTGATGAAATCTTGTGTTACCTTAATTTATAGATGCGATGACATTTTTTTCGTGACGCTCATCTTCCTTGAAACAAAGTCCGTCGATACGCTACCAGGTCACGAAAATTCTCCGTATAATACTACGGGAGAGCTCGGTAGGCGACCAGGCGTCAGGCTAGCGCTGACCGACATGTCATCGCATACTGAGAAAGTAGCGTCAGTGTCAATTCCCTGCATTCTATCCGACCATAATCATATTTCACTAACTTGGAGGCGATCAAACCTAGCGAGACAATTTGCTGTTCGATCGCAGTTGCAATGGCAATTGTAAATTTTCGGCTCCTTCACAATCTTTGAACCTTTGAAAGAGTCATTTGAACGGGTCGCATTAAGATCGCAATAAAGCAACACCGGACCGAAAGCATTCCTAGCCAATATACGTGTCTAATGGGCTTCACACGTAGTCCCCTAACAATCGTACTCGTATCTTTTATTCAGGTATCGTTGTTATCGGGTCTTTAAAGATAGGAAAGATATTTTAACGTGATACTATGAAGCAGCTCGTGTCGCAGTCAAGCCCGCCTCGGCGGCGTTGTCGTGAAGGGAAATTCCTGATTGGTTCATAGGGTCATGACGCCACAGCCAGATGACCTCGCGCGGGAATTTCGAACAACCCAGAACGCTCACGGGAGACGTGATGTCACGCGTGGAATGAGAGTGATTAAAACGTGACTTGCAATGCGAATTAAATGTCACCGCATGTCTCAAATGATTTCATTGTATCATATTGCCGCGTACAGGGTCATAGACATCTAGAAGGTTCTCGTTTATTCTTGTTCCTGACATAACTTCTGTCATGTCTTTCTGCTTTTGTTGTTCTAGAAAGTGCGTTTTTATTCTCGACCCGAGCGCGCGACGGTCAAACCTTCTTCACCGAATCTTTGAGATAGTCACTCGATCACTCTAGAGAAGAGGTCGCCCACAACCTGGACGAGTCAATCTCGCCACAGCGCTCGATCCTGCGGTTTCGCCGACATCGGCGCCCGCGACGCTCTGTTGTTTTTATACTCTGTTTCCTCTTTGTTTTCGGCACAAGTTCGCCCCATTAAACATTTAGTGCCTTCAGTTATCATCACTCATCAATTGTCATTTGTGACGTTTTCGATGAGGTGCGGGCTAATTGCATTCTATGTCCGTGAAGCGTACCCCTCCGAAGACATCGCGGCCAAGTGAGGTGCTCAGCCCCGGAAGGCTACCTTTCGCAGAAGACGCCGACGCCCGAGCAAGCCACCGTGCCAGAGTCCAACTCCCGGAATCCGGACCCTTCCTGCAGAAGCCGAAGAAGAAGATCCCGACGATGACCGCCCCGCCCGTCGTCGTCCTCGCCGTCGCTCCGCGGACGCCTACTCCCATCCTCGGCGAGATCTACGAGGACGTCGAAGAGTGGATCAACCAATACGAACATGTGGCTCGCCACAACGGGCGGAGTGACGAACAATGCCTGCAGAACCTCTATTTCTCGCTTGAAGGAACTGCAAGGCGCTGGTTTGAAAAGCACGAAGCTTCCTTCACTTCATGGGAGCTTTGCAAGAACGAGTTGACGCGTACGTTCCTCAATCAACACCGAAGAGAGAGGGCTGAAGATCTGCTGCAGTCCAAAACCCAGGGCCCAATGAAAGCGTCACGAGTTTCGTAGAAGATGTCCTAGGCCTGAGCTCCCGCGCCGAAACTCAGGCTACCGAGGAAAAGAAGCTGCGTATTCTGATGCGCGGCGTGAAGAACGACATCTTCGGTGGACTGGTATGCAACCCACCGACGACCGTTCGAGAATTCGTCACCGAGGCGACGAACATGGTGCGTGCCACACTTGCAAGGGCAACCCACTACCAGCGGCATCTCGGTGTAGCCGCCCCTTCGCCATCGCGATATGACCACGGCTAGAGTCTGACTGAAATTCGCGAGATAATTCGCGACGTCGTTCGAGAAGAGCTCAGGAAGCTCCTGCCTGCTGCCAACCAGCCGGCTTCGCTTCGCTTCGCAAACAGACGTTTGGAGTCTCCAACGCCACGAACCCACCGAGAGAGCCTGCCTCCCCTGCGACGCCGGGAAAACAAAGCTGTTCGTGAAGACGTTCAGGGGGTAATCCAACCGGATGCTCCTGCTACCGTAGCAGCACCAGAGGAGCCCGCTCTTAGCTGCGCCGCAATGGTCCGACGAGCACCACCGACCCCGCGTCCGTACGTGGCGACTCCCCGACGTTAACCTCCAGCGCCGCAGTATTCCCGACGCCAGGAAGATCGGGCGCACGTCCGCTCAGAACAAGCTGCGCCAAGACCGACCTGTGGAGTATAGGAGTCCCTCACCGGGTGGTCTTCATATCA